CGCGCAGTGGCTAGCTAGCTAGCTAGCTAGCTAGCTAGCTAGCTAGCTAGCCAGCCAACTGACCGGCTAGCTAACTGGCTAGTCGCTGCTTGTCCTTGTGGCTGCCGCAGAGCAAGGGGCGTTGCTGCCTGACTGCAGCAGCAGCAGCAGCAGCAGCAGCAGCACTGAGGTGATCTGCCACGACCCCGCTGCTGCTGCTGCTGCTGCTGCTCCTGCTGCTGCTGCTCCTGCTGCTAAAGAAGAGGCTGGGTTCTTTCAGCAGCAGCCGCAGCAGCAGCTGCTGCTGCTGCAGCTTCCCCCAGCAGCGCAGCAGCCAGTCTATTTTGAATACCCGGACTCGCCTGCGGAGTGTCAGCAGCAGCAGCTGCAGCAGCAGCTGCTGCTGCAGCAGCACCTGCTGCCGCTGCCCAGCAGCAAACTCCTCGAGAGGTCGCTCACAGAAAACATCAGCTGCGCGACGCTAGGATTGTAAGTGCTCCCCAGCAGCAGCAGCAGCAGCAGCAGCAGCAAAGTTGCTGCAGCAGCAGCAGCAGCAGCAGCAGCAAAGTTGCTGCAGCAGCAGCAGCAGCAAAGTTGCTGCAGCAGCAGCAGCTGCTGCAGCAGGCCTCCGTAGCAGCAAATCCCTCCTCACCTCTTTCTCCTCGAGCTTCTCCTCTCCGGGCGTCCCACGAAGCTGCCTGGCTAGCCAGCTAGCTAGCCAGCTACTAGCTAGCTAGTCAGCTAGCGAGCCAGCCAGCTAGCTAGCTAGCTAGCTAGCTAGCCACGCGGGCCGCCGCCTCATAGGTAGCGTCGCATGTACTGATCAATGGCCGTGAAGGCAACTGCAGCAAAAGAACAGCCGCACAGCTAGCTAGCTAGCTAGCTGGCTAGCTAGCTAGCTGGCTAGCTAGCTAGCCATCTCGCTGGCTAGATCGCTAGCTAGCCAGCTATGTGCCCCTAAGACTGGCTAGCTGAGCTACCCCCGCAGCCAGCTAGCCAAACACTCCCCCCATCTCCCCGCATCTCGTGGCTAGCTGGCTAGCTAGCTAGCTAGCCAGCTAGCCAGCTAGCTAGCTAGCTAGCCAGCTAGCCAGCTAGCTAGCCAGCCCTCCAGCCCCCACCCCGCTAGCTAGCCACCGAGCTATTTGCCTGCAAAGATATAAACTCCTGAACTCGTTTTGGTCTATCTTCTCCGTCCCCTGCCCCCTAGTTCCCCTTCTATCTGCCTAGCTAGCCAGCTAGCTAGCTAGCTAGCCAGCTAGCTAGCTAGCTAGCTACCTAGCTAGCTAGCTAGCTAGCCGCAGCCCCCGAAAGCCCCACCCCAGCTCTCTCCCCATCCCTGCGCAGCCCTACCCCCCCCTCCCCCAGCTAGCCAGCTAGCCAGCCAGCTAGCCAGCTAGCCAGCTAGCTAGCTAGCTAGCTAGCTAGCTAGCTCACGCGAAGAGGCTGCTGCGTAGGCAGCGAGGGCCCGGGGGCCCCCCCGGCTCTTGAAAAGGGCCCCCGCGAGGGCCCCCGCGAGGGGCGGGTGGAAAGGGCTGTCGCCGCGCAGCAAAATGCAGCAGTTGTTGAAGCAGCAGTAGAAAAGGCCTGCGCACACGTGCTGCTGCTGCTGCTGCTGCTGCTGCTGCTGCTGCTGCTGCTGCTGGTAGTTGCTGCTGCTGCTGCTGGTGTTGTTGCTGCTTTGGTGTGGCGGGGGGCTGCGAGGTGCGGTGGGGCAGAAACGGTTTGGGGTTTAGGGGTTCGCAGGGTTTAGGGTTTAGGGTTTAGGGTTTAGGGTTTGGTAGGGTAGGGGGCGCGTTGTGTTGCTGCTGCTGCTGCTGCAGTTTGCTGCAGTTTGCTGCAGTTTGCTGCAGTTGCTGCTGCTGCGCCGCGGGCGCGGGGCTTCGCCGCCGCGCCTGCGCGCAGCGCCTACGCTGCAGGGTTTGCCGTCTACGGCCTGGGTCAGGGTTTAGGGTTTAGGGTTTAGGGTTTAGGGTTTAGGGTTTACTGAGGGTGGCTAGCTGGCTGCCCAGCGCAGGGGCACAAGTGCTGCAGCCATTCAGCAAAGCATTCAGCCGCAGCCGCGGGGAGGCCCCCCCCCGCTGCAGCCCGAGGGCCCCCCCGTAGAGGCCCCCCAGCAGCACCCCTGCAGCAGCAGCAGCAGCAGCAGCAGCAGCAGCAGCAGCAGCGGCAGCAGCAGCAGCGGCAGCGGCAGAAGCGGGTTCCAGGGTTTGGGGGGTTGGGGACCGATAGGGGTAGGGTTTGGGCCTGCGGGAGAGTGGGGGTTAAGGTTCGGCGGTTCGGGCTCGCTAGGGTTTAGGGTTTAGGGTTTAGGGTTTAGGGTTTAGGGTTTAGGGTTTACCTGCTGCGTAGCCCACGCCGGCGCTGTGGGTTAGCTTTTCTCCAAACTGCTTCCCGTAGCCATAAAGGTAAAGTTCATCTTTGCTGAAGGCGGGGCGGGGGGGCCCCCTGGGGATTTCGGGGAGGCCCCAGCTGCTGCTGCTGCTGCTGCTGCTGCTGCTGCTGCTGCTGCTGCTGCTGG